CGTTACCGGTTAAGTAAATTTTGTTACTTTTTTTCAACACCTGAAATTGAAATTAGAATTCTTGCGAACTGATTACAATGTTTGAAAAAACTTTGGCAGCACTGCATTTTTCGTCCTTGTCAAATTACATTTGCCAGTTGATAAAGTAAAAAGAAAAATATTCACATCGAAATGGAAGACGGTGCACAACAAAATAAATAAACTTTTTTATTTGCTTATTAAATATATAAATATTTGAACCTAATTTTGGTAAATATGTCTAAAGGACAAAAAAGACGAATTGAAGAGCAAATTTTTTTTTAGCTTTTTACACTTTTTTCCTCATTTTCAATGAATTTCATGGCTACCCATTTGGGCTTTTATTTTCTCTTAAACTTACACCACAAAATCAAACAGCAGATTTTTTGTTATCTCCTATTTCGCTGTTAACAACATTTACAGGGTGACAGTGAACTCAGAATACGATGGAGTCACAAAATTTACTGAATGGTAAATTTTAATACCGAAGTAAATTTTGTTTCCTCGACAGAATAGACATATATGTGTTCAAAAGAAACCTATTAAAAATTCTTTATATTAGAGCTAATTATAAATATATATATATAGTTGCGCATGAAATATATGTTAATTTTTTATTGCCTCTCATTAATTGTTTAGTTATTTCATTAATCAATACAATACAACAGCACAGCAGCAACACCACTAAGCCTCGATTAACTTAACCTCTATCCGGAAATTAGCTAACCGCCAGATAGACTCCCAACCAACTTCTGGTTAGTTTTTTCATTAAATATTTTAAGGCAAGTTCACAAAAAATTGCATTGTGAATACCTGATATTTTTAATTTTTTTTTGTCAATAAATGTAAGTAAAATTGTATTTTAAGAATAGTTTTAAACTAACATTTTTTTGTTTTAATTATTTTTATGTTAATAAACCATGAAATATTTCGAAAATCTAATTTTTAAATACTGATGTATGCCTACAATTCGTTGCACCAATTTCTAATGAGGAACTCTTTAAAAATATATCTAATATATATGGTTAGAACCTGAAAAAGAAATAGTTATAAATGAACTAAAATTTTGTTTATACAAATAACCCACCATCGGAGCATAATCTCTGCCTAGCGTTTGTTCGCGCCTCAGCTAGTCTTATGTCGGTATTAACGGATGCTTCTGCTGGCTTATGCGCTTTAACTTCCACTTTATCCAGATTAAAGACATTGTTCTGGAAGACAATTTTTCATTACAGGCAGCATGTTCCTTTCTGTTTCGAAACATTTCGGTATATTCTCCTCTAGGTGATTGGATTTTGATATCAGTACATTCTATACCCCCCATTCCCCCGTTCTCAGTTTGTTTGTAGTATTCTGATGATTGGTCCGGTCCCTTAATTGGGAAGGTGCCGCTCCCCAGCTGGTTGATGTCCTCGTAAGAATAAAGGCTGACATCACCGTCCATCACACTGGACGGGACAATGACGAAAGCAAGTAGATCTTTGTGACATTTACTAAAACGGTTATATAAAGGACCACAAATTTCGTGTAGGATTTGTGGTTGGAGAGAGACTCCGTCGTCGAGTACTGGCATTCACCCCGGTGGACGATCGTCTCGCCGCAATCCGCATCAAGCGAAAATTTTCAACTTATCGTTGATTTGCGCCCACGCTCCGACGAGTGAGAAGGACGATTTGGCCAAAGATGCCTTCTAAGAGCGCCTAGAGAATGCTTATGAGCGGTGCCCCCGACACGATGTGAAAATCGTGCTTGGCGATTTTAATACCAGGGTTGAGGCTGATCGACTTCGCCGGGACCCAAAATATGGCTGTTCGACTTTGAAAAGCTGCAATCACAACATTCTGCCGAACGATTTTTTACTCGACTTGCACTTCTCCTCTCTGAGAGCACTCTGTATACGGGACCTGTGGGACGGGATAGATACTGAGAGATGAAGAGGAAAGCAAGACGCATATGCAGACCAAAAGAGAAAGAGGCCGAAATGCGTGAGTATAAAGAACGAACTTGAGAAGCTGTCCGATAAGGGTAATGCTCGAAAATTCTATGAGAAGATGCGACGACTTACGGTAAGTTTCAAGAGCGGAGAAGACTCTTGTAGGACACAAAAAGGGTGATCTAGCCACCGATTCCCTGAGTATATTGAATTTATGGAGGGGACACTTCTCCAGCCTGTTGAATAGCGATGAAAATGGAAAATCTTGTGATGGTGAACTCGAAACCCCAATCGATGACGATGGAAAAAACGTTTCATTACCTGACCATGAAGAAAATTGAATAGCAATCGTAAGCCTTAAAATACAACAAAGCGGCTGGAGCTGACGGCCTACCAGCAGAACGATTCAAAGATGGCAGTGAAAAGCGGACAAGATGCATGCATCAACGTCTTTGCAGAATATGGTCGGACAAAAGCCTGCCCGACGATTGGAATTTGAGTCTGCTCTGCCCTATCCATAAAAAGGAGAACCCACAGTCTGCGACAATTACCGTGGGATAAGCTTCTTTAATACCGCCTATAAGGTCCTGTCTAGAGTATTGTGTGAAAGACTGAGGCCCACCATCAACAAACTGATTGGATCTTTTCAGTGTGGCTTCAGACCTGGTAAGACAACCATTGAGCAGATATTCACAATCTTGTAAAAAGACCCGTGAAAAGTGGATCGACTCCCACCACCTCTTCGTCGATTGCTGCCTTTACGCCGCTATGTCTGAATTTGGTATCACCGCAAAACTTATACGGCTGTGTAAGCTGAGGCTAGACAATACCAGAAGCGCAGTCACAATTTTAAAAGACCTCTCCGAGCCATTCGATACAAAACGAGGCTTCTTTGTCGTGTGATTGCTTTGATGTGATGCTGGAGAGAATAATAAGAGATGCAGAGCTGAATACAGGAGGTACAATTTTCTAGAGTGTACATCTTATAGCGTACGTAAGATTTATGGTCCTTTTCGCGTTGGCAATGGCGAGTACCGCAGACGATGGACCGAAGACGATGCGTTCCCGACTATGACGAGGTTCGAATAATGGTCGCTCGTTTAAAGAACAGCAGAGCGGTGGAGGCCTTTCATTTATCGGTGGAGCTATTTAACCATGACAATAAAGAGCTGTTAGAGCCTAAGTGTGCTCTTTCCAATCCATAAAAAGATAAAGAGACCCCACTGTCTGGGCCAATACCCACTTAAATATCGCATATATGGTCTATCGAGCGATTGGCTCTTATCAGTGTGGTTTTTGAACTTGTAAATCAATCATTGACAAGATATTCACCAAATCTTGGAAATCAACCATGGACACGATATTCACCAAATCTTGGTCTCCCCAAAACTGTTACTATTATGTAAACTGACTTTAAGCAACACTAAAAGCAAGAACGACCTCGCCGAGCCGTTCGGTTCCAAACGTGATTTCAGGCAGGTATAATTTCTTCAATTTGATGCTGGAGAAAATAGTATAAACTGCAGAGCTAAATAATAGTGTACAACTTTTAGTATATTCCAATTCTGCGCTGTTGATCAGACTCAACTTAATTAGAGATGTTTCGAGATTGCCGAAAATACCTTGTTTGTTCACCCTGACGATGAAGTCGTCAAGCACAGTTTTCACATCGTGGAGGCAACGCTATGTGTATACTTTACATTAATCGAATTTGAAGGCGTGATATTATGGTTGGAAATTAAAAAAGTTAATCCCTCGAAGGGTAAAAAAACAAATTTGAAGCTGAACATTTTTTATTGGCCATTCATTTAATTTATAAAATTAAATATTTATATATTGTACTTGAAGAGAAAGTTTTCTCTCCTAAAACCAAATTTTTTACCAGAAGAGTGCATTGTATTCGAAGACTTTCATTTATCGGAGTTTCACATTTGATGTTCAATGTGTTGATACTCAAGGTTTATTGAATACAAAGTTACAACATCCGACGACGTCACCGAACCAACTATTCGAAAAAACGATTTTGTTTTTTTGAAGTTTTTATATTCGATAAAATTGTATCTATGGTTGATATTTGGACTATAGATTTCCTAGGTTAATAGGTTTAGAAAAAACTCAGGAATTTGGATGAAATAAACAAAACTGTCGATTCTGGTGCGGAGAAAATCCAAAAATTATTTACGAACAACCATTACATTCATCTAAATTGACAGCTTGGTGTGGTTTTTGATCTGGTGGAATCATCGGTCTATACATCTTTCAAAATGAAGCTGGTAGCACCGTTACTGTCAATGGAGAGTATGGTATAGATCGATTTTTATGGCCACCATTGGAAGTAATTGATCTTCACAATTACATATTCGATTATTTGAAGAAATTGTGACATTAAATGAGCTTCCAAAAGTTGTGATTTAACACCATTAGACTAGTACTTGTGGCGGTATTTGAAGTCATTAGGTTTTAGCTATAAACCAGACACTCTTCAAGCTTTAAAATTCAATATTGTCATACGACTTGATTTAGTACTCAAAAATTTTTCGAATTCGTTCCTGCAATCGTGGATGCGATTTCAATGATGTTATATTAAAGATTTAATTAATCGGAACAATTATAAATTCGTCATAAATAAATAAACATTTGAATTTCCTTAATAATTAGTGTGTTTTAGTTTTTAAGAAATCATATCATTCTTATTTGAAAATCCTATACCTTCATGCCTAGGTTAATATATAAATAGATTTTTCTCAGATCTGTTGGAAAAATTGTGGGGTTAATTCTATTTGCTTAATAGTTTAATTATTTTTAAGAATAATAATTGACAAGCTATAATAAAATAAGTAACGAAAACCGCAACAAAAAAACTTATTACCTCGCGTCCATAAACCACGCAGCTCGGCCAAGAAGGATGGGTTTTTTTAACCGCTATAGCAACGACACCGGAAGAAGTAGGTGGGAGAAACAGCTACGTGGTTATCTTCACATGAAGCAAATATTTTTTATAAGACAATAAATTTTTATTAATATTTAGTTTAAAAATTTTAATGCTAATTAATAAATAAACTGCCCCGTACATGGGAAAGATGCGTTAGGCTACATGAGGAAGGGAGGGTCCAGGAGAGTCTAAATATAGTCACATGGTTCTGACACGTTTTCTTAATATCAAATCTTCAAGTTTTTTAATTTTTCAGAAAATGTTACTCATACAAGTTTATTTCAAATTATTATTCATAATAATCAATTGGCGCCCATGAAGCCAAGCGACTGAGAAAAATTGTGGGCAATAATGATGCTTCAATCAGCCGCAAGAAGCCGAATGTTTTCTGGGTAGTCAACAAGCATCCGTTTTTAGGCGATCTAAAGCGAGAATGTGAAATCATCTGAAATCTTAACTCTAACGAAAAATAACATAAACATCGGACGTGGGACACCCTATTGTTAACGAGCTCCGCAATTGTATTGCAGACAGAAAATGTGAATTCATATTAAATTTTCTCCGCTGAATAAATATCTGGTCGAAATTGTGCTTGGCGAGCAAAAAAGGTATTGGCATAACAGTAGGAAAATTCAGCACCCATGACTAAACATCCCCAAATTGATTCGCCGAGCCTGAAATATTGTTGTCTGTAGCAGTAGATTACAGGACAAGTAAATTCATCAAGCTACTTGGCTGCCCCCAGAACGAAAAACTCTCAACCAAATCGGTCATAATAGACAGACGATACTTCTTCAGATGAGCATACATACGTTTCGAGGACCTAACAACGACTCGGATCACTATCTACGCTTATATGCTGTTGTTCATATTCGTCTCTAACATTCATATGGAAGTCATGTTAGTCTTCTAAAATCACGCATACAGCTGTCGAGAAGCCTTTCAAAAATTTTGGGTTGTTGGCTCTGCCTCCTTTTTTGGTAAATATTGCGTTAGCCTCCTTGCAGTCAGAGTTTTGAGATTTTAATAGAATAGCTATGATGTCATCCGTCATCTGTACCACACTACTCTTTAGCTGCATACGATGCCACTGACATCAGAATTTAAATATACTCGTTATCCCAAAGCAATTCGTTGTAGCATGTGGAGGATCCCAGAAAGTGGGTGTTTATAGTTCTCCTGAAGAGCACTTTACTTGGTCTGTTTCTTTTCAATCTTACATCAATGTTATATCAGAGGAGTTTCGAAGATTCTCTTTTTTTCCTTACAAACATTTTGAAAGTTTTGTGGCAATCTTTTTTTTGGATACTTTGTTTTAGCTCAGAGATTTCATTATTCCACTATTTGGATTTTTTCTTTCCTATTGGAATGGACAAAAGTTTTTTTACAGACTTTGGAAACATCTACTGCATCATCACTTTTCGACAACAAATCTAACCCCACTAAAAAACAGATCTTGTGCTAGCTGCCATCGCTTCTTGATGATAAGCGGAACTTTGGGCTGAGGATACTGCCACAACTGTCCTAGAGATTGTGCAGTTAATATTATTCTTATTTCTGTACGCAGCCATTGATTGCGTTCTTATGGTGGGATCAAAAGATACAAAAAGGTAAACCTAGAAGAAAAGCTTTATGCTAGTCAGAAATGGACACAGTTTATACCAAACCTTATCTGACAGGCTTGGTATATAGCGGAATTTACCTAGAAGCGCAGAAGCGCAGAATGAGATCAATGGATGATGCTTTGGAGGAATGCAAATTAATTTGAATATCTGCACCATCCTGAGGTGTAGTTGATATCATTGCTTCGGATTCATGGATAATTGCATCAATATCCTCCCATTCGTTGGGAGAACTCAGCCTCTGATCGTTCTCCATCTGCCCCTAGTCCACTCGTGGTGTCTTTGATTGCTCCAAGAGTTTAGGCAATCCGTTTCGCTCAAGGCCATGCTTGGGTCGGCAGGAGCCCTCTCCTCAGAGGTTGCTAAGTTGGTAAAACCTGAGAATATAAATAAACGTCGTTAACTGAATGATTTAAAAATAGATAATTCAAACATTGGTGCCTAATAGCAATTAGGATACCAAATTGGTTTTACAATGTCAGCTATTGAAAATTAAGTGCCTTTATTATAAATAAAACTTTAGAAGTTTTTGTTTACCATAAGTTGAAATTATCGAGACATTGGCTGCAGATTATTTTGACGGAAAATTTTTTTGTACACGAAAATTTAGAAATGTATTGAAATCTCAGCTCCACTATAAATTAAATAATGAACAACGAGTAGAGAATTGGAAATTTCTAATTTTTGTAGCTGCAACAGTAGATAAGTAAGTAAGAGCACGGTTTTCGAAATTTCTCGCATTATTATAGAATTCATTATGACGATTGCTTAAACGATTTCTACTAAGAGAACATCATCTAAAATTTTTCTGTTTAATTTTCTTCTTAATTAAATTAGGTATAGCTGATTTTTCATAATGTGAATTTTGCAAATTATTAACAACTTAATCCTGTTTTGTTAAATTCTACAAAATATTAACAGCTAATTTTGTTAATTTATTTATATTACAATACTTATATCTGAACTTGTAAAGTTCATTGATAAAGCAAATATGCATTTTTCTCCAAAACTTATTAAAAATATGTGAACTGAAATTGGAACCAAAATGTTGTAATAACATCGAGCTGTATTTTAATATTTTCACTCAACGAATTAATTTATATTAAAGTTTTGTTCCATATCCGTATGCTTGTGAGGCTCTGGCGGATTTTTAAAAAAATCTAAAATACTTGCAATTACTTCTTGCGGAAGATAAGTTATTGTTAAGTAAGTTATATTTAAATATTACCATTTCCAGCATAATTTTTTCGTTCTAAATTATATTTTGGCATAAATGCTTCTGGCCAAGTTGAATGTGACAACTTTACTGAAGTAGCAAAATATCGTTTTTTAAATTTTTTATATTGGAGTAGTCAATTCCGTTTGCAAACAGTTTTCTTGAAACATGTTGATTATATATATTTTTTTTTAATTTTGACAAATCACTTCAACATGAAAACCTTTCCTAACAAACCAAATTTTGGTATTGAAAAATTTAAATAGCAACACATTATAAAGTATTGTATGTAATTTGTTGTGTTCAAAGTAACAAAAATTAATCTTATCTTGATATATATAACATCTACTCATCTAATCTACTCTTTTATTAATAATAATATAATATTACGAACGCTGTATTGATTATATTATTAAAAAAACATCTTTTAATTTTTTTATTATTTAGCTCTAGCCCTTTGCGATTGGTCGCTACTTCAAAAAAGGAGGCGCAACCTTGCTAGGCGACATTGTTCACCACGTGACACATCTCCTTATTTCGCAAAAATGTCAGAAATTGGTTGTTCGGAGATAGATATACTTTTGAAGACACTTATGACGTCAATTACTGATGGAAAGCCTACGTTGTTAAAGCATTTTATACAACGAGCCTGTGCCAATATGTTTTTTCAATACATGTGCTCAGTACGCTTCGATTACAAGGATAATGAATTTTGTGAAGTTGTTGGATTTTTTGATGAAATATTCTGGGAAATAAATCAAGGATATGCTGTTGACTTCTTACCTTGGCTAGCACCGTTATACAAAAAGCATATGAACAGCTTAATAAATTGGTCCTCTAAAATACGGAGTTTTATATTGAACCGTATCATATATAAAAGGGAAAATAATAATGAACAACGACAAGACGATTTCACGAGCGCTTTGCTTAAAAGTCTAAATGAGGACAGCAATGTTTCACGAGACACAATAATATTTATGCTAGAAGATTTTATTGGAGGTCACTCAGCTGTTGGAAATTTAGTCATGCTTATTATTATGTATTTGATTAAGCATCCAAATGTTGCTAAAAATATTCAGCTAGAGGCAGATTCTGTTTCTAAACCAAGTCATAGGACAATAAATTTCTACGACATGGATAGTATGCCTTACACCATGGCTACTATTTTCGAGGTTTTAAGATGTTCCTCTTCTCCGATTGTTCCACATGTAGCAACTCAGGATACTCTTATATCTGGTTACGGTGTAGCAAAGGGAACTATTGTATTTATTAATAATCATAACCTAAACCATAACAAATTGTATTGGAAACAACCGGAATGCTTTATACCGGAAAGATTTCTCAAAAATACATACGAAGAGCAGAAGTCCGTGCAATCAAAAAGGAAGCTGAATGAATCAGAGGAGCGTGAAAACGATATTGCAGAAAAGAATATGATAATTAAGAATACACAAAGTCGAGGTCTACAAATAAGAAAAGGCATTCCATATTTTTTACCATTCAGTATTGGCAAGAGAACGTGTATTGGACAAAACTTAGTTCGTGGCTTCGGATTTATACTAGTTGCTAATATATTAAGGCATTTTAATATCAGTTACGATATGAACAGTGAAATAGAAATAAATACCGGAAGCATTGCACTTCCGACGAAACCAATATCCGTATATTTGATAAAACGAAAAGAAATCTTTTGAATTTTTTTGCACTATGTACAAAAAAGTGTTAATTTGAATACTTATTAAACATTTATAATTTGAGCTGAATTAATTAAACGGTTGAAATCGATAAACGTCAAAAAAGGAGTTTTCTTCATATTTGCCCTAATATTTATTGTGTAAAGAAAAATTCGAGCTCGCTTATTCTTTCCTTTTCCCACATAGTGCTCGGCTCGTAAAAATGCTAGTTTTAACTAAGGTTCATAGAATACAACAACAAGGTACCGTGCAAGATGGGACCAGCAAATATGACTAGATACGAAACTCTTTATTCCGTGAGAGCGCTCAAAGATCCGTATTTTTTATAACATTTTTATACAGTGACACTGTGATAGAAAAATGACTCCTTTGGATTTTTAGGTATATTTTGGGCACTATATTATTTAAACAACGACATCTTTAATTGCAATTTCACTAAAATATTTCATTTCAATATTTAATTATATCAAGTTTTAATAATGAAATTACAATAATTTCAATAATATTTACTGCTGAAGCAAATTTCTTTTGAAACAAAAACAATGGATTTTATTTATTGGCATAGTGGTACGTGCGTTTTGCACATCAGATTTTGAATGTTCCCCGATCTGACACTGCTACCAACATTAGAATGTGAAATGGGGGAACGCTCTCAGCTGCGATTTGAGTGATTTTGAGTAAGTTTCGTATCTAGTCAACTATAGATATTATTGAAATATATGCAAGAAAGGTATATTATATATTTTACTGTCCGATGAAATCACATTTTCTTAATACTAAAACTTCAAATATTCAGCTTGAAAAATTTGATTAATAAATTATATTATTATTATTACCATAAAATGGGACGGTTAAAGGTTAGTTTTTCAGAAAATATTAATGAAATCACTTACACAATTTTCTTTGTCCTCAATAACCCACCCCACACTTTTTCATAGCTTCGAATTTTTAAACACGAATTTTCCACAAGATAATGAATTTTGAAAATTTTAAACGTTTTTGTCATTATTTATTCATGCCATTCGTGCTACATGACACCAACAGAACAGGAAAACGACGGCCAATATCGGGCCACAAAAAATTTTCAATTAACAGAATTATCTGAGGACAGTTTTTGACTGCGATTCACCTGAGGCTGTCCAGAAGCGATTCTTGGGAATATGGTTCTAGCAGCTCACAACTTTCGGTCTTAAACCAATTATCGTCCGGGTAGAAACGGAAAGGCATGGGTCTGGTAATTCAACTTATTTAAAATATATTTATACATGTTTGTGTTTATAAAGATCTAACTCAACCAAGGTATACTAAAGAATTCAAAGTTTTCAAATACGCAGGTATTCCTAACGCTATTTACAATTTTCAATTTTTCTACACAAGTTCTTTATTTGACAACTTTGACACTCTTGCTAATCAAGAAACTTGACTTACTGGTTTTCCGACCAAAAATTTTACAGAGGGTTTCAAATAATCTATAATCAGAGTAAAAAAAATAACATTGACACAGCTTCGAGAAACCTGTTTTATGTTAGCTGTTAGCTCCGTTGATAGCGTGGCAGCTATGTCTCAACGTAATAGAGTGAGACATCACATCGCCACGGCTTGTTAGTTTCTAGGCTCCTAAAGTCACACTTTCTTTCATTGCAGCTGGTTTCTATGTGACAGGCCCCTAATTTGTTTGTGGATTAGAGTCGAAATTAGATACTGACTTTTTTCACTCGGATATACTCAATATCTTCTTCGATTGCATGGTCAACATCAGAATGTCCGATCATTAAAACTATAAATGATGAAAACTGGACTTTCAATTTTTCTAGTACAACATTCTCATCATACGTGGGGGTGCGTTGCTTCGCGTCGACGGATAAGTCACCTTACTTACGATTGCTATATCGAATGCTAGCCAAAAATCTATACCTATATGAGAAGTAGTCAAACTTTCGGGTATGCAGTTAAAGTCGCGGGGCTATAATCAACTCCTACCATTGTGCCAGATGCGGAAACCGATCCGTGTGGAGCATTGGGTGAAGGCTAAAAGAGAGGAAGCTTCAGTGGTGCCACTCCGACTTATTCGGTTACCAGAGGTGCGGCTGCGAGGTAGCATCGGTTACATTAATGTGCAAAATTTAAATTTACTCGTGTAGCAATGTTGTGCGCTGTGTTTGGGACTCGCCACTTAGAAATCACACTCCAATTAAAAAGATGCCTCTAACGAGATACCCCGTTTTTGATGACGACCATCGTAAACGAACCAAGGATTACGATTTGAGGGCATGCACCCGGAATGTCTGGTCCCTTAAGGGAACCGCTGCACAAGGACGGAAACGAATAGGTCATTGTGACATTTGCTACAGCGGCCATATAAAGGGGAGCGAATTTGGTGTCGGATTCGTGGTGGGGGAGAGACCCCATCGTCGAGTACCTACATTCACCCCGGTGGATGAATATCTTCCCTCAATCCGCATCGATTCAAGTTCACACGCGTCGACGGAAGAGAAGGATTATTTAGACAAAGAAGCCATTTATGCACGCCTGTAACATAGTTATAAGCGCTGCCCCGGTGTGAAAATCGTGTTCGTCGATTTTAATGGCAAGGTGGGCAATGAAGGTATCTTTGGTAACTGTTGGAAAATTCGTCCTCCAGAACCACACATCCGCTACTGGGTTGAGGCTGATCCACTTTGCCGTGGTCCGAAACATGGTTGTCTGTAGTACTAAGTTCCATTGCAAAAAAATGCATCGAGCTAACCAGACCGATCATATTGTAATATACGGAAGACATGTCTCCAGTGTTCTTGACGTATGTACACTCCGAGGACCCAACATCGACTCGAACCATTATCTTGTTGCAGGGAAGATACATACTCGCCTCTGTGTATCGAAGAGCACCCATCAACAAGCCCAAGGAAAGATCGACGTAGAAAAGCTGCTACCCGGTTTTCTACTTGACTTGCATATCTGTGATCGACCACAACCCCTGCAGGGTGGGATAAAAAGAGCCTGAAGTTGCCTCTACGAGAAGATCCGTCGACTTACGAAAGGTTTCAAGACCGGAGCAACCTCTTTTAGGACACAGAGAAGTTATCTAGAAACGGATGCCCAAAGTATACCGAATTTATGGATGGAACACTTACTCACCCTGCTGAATGGCGTTGAAAGAGTAACCGCAGGAGATAGCGAACTCGATTCCCTAATCGATTACTAAAGAACAAATGTTTTATTGCCCGACTAAGATGAAATTCGAATAGCAAGCGGTGGGGGCCGATAGATTACCGGCCGAGCTATTCAATTACGTAGGTGAAGAACTGATTAGGTATATGTATCAGCATCCCACAGTCTGCTCCAATTACCATATGATGAGTCTTCTTAATATCGCATATAAGATTCTATCGAGCGATTAGTGTGAAAGACTAAGCCCCACCGTCAACGTACTGTTTGGTTGTGTTAAAGGGATCGACACCCGCCGATTTTACAGCAGTCTCCGACAGCACGAAAATACGTTGCTATGTCTGAATTCGGTATCTCCGTAACCCTTATACGGAGATGTAAACTGACCTTAGGCAACACGAAAAGCTTCGCCAGGATCAGAAAGGAACTGTCCGAGATGTTCGATAACAAACGAGGTTTCAGATGAGGTAATTCCTTATCTTGTGATTTCTTTAGGTTGAGGTTAGAGAAAATAATACGAGCTGCAGAGCTGAATAAAGAAGGTATGAGGGCAAGATGAAATATCCCCTGCCATAAGACAAACGGTCATCGCATTCGCGACGTGGAAGTCGTAGATAACCTCGTCTATAAGATAGACCAGTATTAACACCAACATCAATGTAGGCATGGAAATTCAACGCAGATTCACTGTTGCCAATAGGTGCAACTTTGGACTGGGTAGGCAATTAAAACGTAAAGCCCTCTCCCGTGCATGTTCAACACTAGTTCAACGAACACTAGGGTCACATACATAAGCCAGTCGTGTGCGTGGAATAAAATAATATTCATTTGTGCGATGAACAAGTGTGTCTAATAGCCTATTTCCACCGGACGTTAAATGCATTTTAGCTTAAATGCAGTTAAACATCGCATTTAAATGCGGTAATTCCCATGTGTTTGTTGTTGGATAAAAGTGAGTTAACTCACTTTGGGAAGTGAGTTAACTCACTTTCGGTAATTTAGCAGAAAATGTTATGTTAACACTCGTTGCTGTCACTACTAATGTAATCGTTTCAGAAATTTCGGAATATTTGGTGCCAGAGTCGTGTATTTTCGGATTTAATGAAGGGTGAGATTTTTATTTTACATGGTGAAATTTTGTCGGCAAAAGTTATTTCTTTGCATTAGTTTTAACATAAACGCATATATTAAGTAATGGCGAAGAGACTGCTTTCTCCTCTTTCAAAAATACAATAAGAAACAAGCATAAAACAATTGTGGAATTTCAAACGATCCCCTCAATAGAAAAATATGGATGGCTGTGGCAGCTATCAGCTGATTTCGCAAAGAAATAATTTGAGGGAACAAACAAGCAAATGTGAAAATGGAAACATGTATAAAAGCATTTTCGTTTCAGCGACGATTGTCCATGTAGAATAAATATGGACTTGCAAATCATAAGATTTCATAAATAGCCAAATAAATTTAATGCGGTCTCTTTAATTCATGATGGCAAATTTCGCAAACTGCGTTAACTCACTTTCGGTGGAAACGTTTGACATTTCATTCACTTAACAGAGGCCTTAAATGCATTTAAGTGCTTGGTGGAAATAGGCTATAAAGCTAATTGCAATAGCCGCTCATAGAAAAATCTAAAAACAAATTTAATGTACGTGTGTACTAGTTGTATATATTTTTCCTACAAGTATAAGGTGGACAAAAGTGTATTTTCATTGAATTTACTTTCAAAAGACACAAAATTCAATTCAAAACGTTGGCACGCCGATTCCGCGTTGTAAACAAAAAAGAGAATACTAGTAGAGAAATTTGAGCAGCACGGCAAGTAAGCACAATTTATCTCTTCATTTTACGATTTTTGTTTTAATAATATTGTAGATAAGAAAATTTATAAAGCGAATTTGAAACAAGTACAATTGATCGTAATTAATTTTCATGATATA